TATATATATATATATATATATATATATATATATATATATATATATATATATATATATATATATATATATAGGTGGAGGGTGGGAACACTTTCCGGTTCTTTCTTCTTGTTTTAAGGCGGCATTAAAGTATTTACTGTCTCCCATGCAGTTCTCCCTCGCATCATTTCCTGCTCTCATTACTTACTTTGATCCGCGCTGTCCTTGTCTTTACTCCCTTCACAGACATCCTTTGAAGAGTCAAATCCTGATCCCTGAATGGAAGTCGGATGGAGGTTCAGCTCGGGTTCCGCCGTGGAAATCGATTCTAGAATGTATGTGGTAGTCTCGTGTTGTCCGCTGATTTTGATGGGAAGCTCCCCGCCTTGATGGCTGAGCTGGGGTTCCAGTTTGACCTGCCCCGCCTGGCTCTGGCCCGGGAAAGACTCGGAGTCTCGCGGAGCGCAGTCCAGCCATGAGCGGATGTATCTTGTGTCTGCGGCGACATGCTGGCCCGGGATGTAGGGATGGTAGACTGCAGGGAGACCACTAGTTCCGTGGTGCGGGCCGAAGGGGCCCCAGGGTGATGAAAAGACCGGACCTTTGGGCTGGAAGCTGCAGGATGGATATGGCTCGGAATGAGCGTGCTCGGAGTGCGCGGCTCCATCGGTCGCAGCAGAGGTGGAAACGGGAAACTGGACGCTGGAGAAGCGAGGCGCGCCTGAGAGTTCGTCACTATCGTGACTTATGATGGAGTCCACGTAATAGTTGCTCAAAGTCCCAGAAATGGACATTCTTGGACATTATCTAGAATACGCGGCAAGTTTACTTCATGCAGAACAAAAGCAGAGACATTAAGGTAATTTTGTCACTCTCTTATTTCCCACTCCCTTCTGCAGATTACTTTCAGAGCTCTCTCTCTCTCTCTCTCTCTCTCTCTCTCTCTCTCTCTCTTTCTCTGAGCCCTTCCCCCTCCCCCATCACCAACTTGCTCAGTATAGCGAAACAAAGTGCTACAGCCTACCCATCGTAAATGTTGGCGGGTTAGTAAGGTCTGTGCGATTGGCCGGACCTTTACCCTGAGCCTGGAAAAGCGCCGCTGCAGCAAAAAAAATAAAAAAAATAAAAACGTACCCCCTCCCCCCCCCCGCGCCCCCGACAAAAAAAGAAAGAAGTAAAAACACGAGACGTAGGTCTATCAGCTCTCTCTATGTCCACCACCATCCCTTCACGTCATTGTAGTGTAATGCCTGTAAATTCTCCACTATAATTTTTACTGAATAAAAATAAATTGCATTCCAGCCGATAGTGTTCTGTGCAAACTGCATTCAAACTATGAGGGGTCAACTGAATGCAATTTTTATTTATTTATTTATTTATTTATTTATTTATTTATTTATTTATTTAATTAATTAATTTTACGATGATTCAAACGCAACGTTTGGGTCACGCAGCACGCGCATTGCAGAATGTATTAATATATTGCGGCCAAGCATTTACCTCTTAAATCAGCTCTGTGTTTGGTGGGTATGCACTTAAATCACTATTACACTAAC